AAATCTAGACTACAGCTCAAATATTTTTTTTAAATTCCCTTGAAACACTTTTTTAAAATTTAACTTTCTGCAATCTATTTATAATGTAAAAACCTAAACTGCAAGATTAAATCACTGGACAATCTCTTTTTAAAAAACATTTTATTAAAATTCAGTTTTGTATAAAATAGGCATTGACTTGCGTATTTTCTAATAACCCATTAAGAGAAGTTTCAAATCAAGCTTTAAAACGTGTTATTAACCATCTACCCAGCCATTTGAAAGATACATGCCTGTGATAAGAGTATTGTATTGCCATTAACCTGTGGGACGGTTCGAGACATCTCTTATTCACACAAAACTCTAAATGCATCTAATTAAAGCCACAAGATCAGCTGTCCATATTAATCACTCACCAGTTTAATTAAGGTAAACCAGCTTGTCAGAAAGCCAGTCTTCTCTCTATTCTTCACCATTATCGACTTTTAATAGTTCACTGGATTAGTAATTACTTGTTTATGGCATTATCAAATACCTGGGAGAAAAAAACACAGTATGTGCCCAGGAAACTGCTTTAGGCTGACTCTTGCTTGGGACAGGAGGAGAAATCTACCCCATCAGATAAAGTTTTCTAAAAAGCCATACAATGCTATTTAGACACAAGTACAACCCAGAAGAGAAACAAACTGAGCTACAAGTATCTTAACAAGAGATTCAGACATGGAAGTTCATTCTGCGGTTACTCAGATTAACGCAGGCGTTCTGAACACTAAGCTAGGAAAAAGGCAGTTAGTGAGATCTCCTGCTCACTTGTAAAAACCATGTCTTTCACACAGAGCGTGCAAGAGTGGGCAGGCACATACAGTGCCACTCCACAAGGGACCACAATAAAGAAAGTTACAAGTCCTACAATTAAACAAAATTTTCTACAGGATCAACTCCTTTCCTAAGTAATTAGGGTACAGATAAGGAACGGAGCAAGCCTCTTCCTCACTATTCAAGCATGCTCACCCTGGGAGTCAATCCCAGACAGTAACAGCTCATTTCAACATAATGCAGTAGTTGAGGGATGACAGTCCTCTCCAACCTACTGGCAGTCCTGCCTGGCAAACCGCTGCCATCTCTCTTTGAAGACTTTAGCGTTTCGTTGAATGTTCCTCATCCGCTTTGGCTCTGCTCAGCATCTGAAGTTGTGGTGATCACAGACAAGACTGATGATTGCGGGTTGTTATAAACTGCGATGGCATACAACATAACCAAAATCAGGGGGAGGAGGGAGCAGGAGAGCAGAGAAAAACAGGGATTATGTATATTCCTAATTCTCCTTAGGCATACCTGCTGCCATCAATGACAAACATTTGTTCCGGGAAGAGCTGCTACCAGTGGAACGCTTAGCATATGAACACTAACCTAATTCCTGTTGGAAATAAACCAATTTCCACTCTCTCCTTTACTAGAGGAGTATTTCAACCTAATAATAAAATCTGCACTGTAGCATGTCAGACCAGCAGCTCTCTGGTAGGAGGCTGGAATTTTAAGTCTCAATGCAGCAGTATCAGCTGTAATGAATTCTACGTAAATATGAGTTCTAAAAAGTCTTCTAGCCTTTTTCTTTCCTTAAAACCATATACGAATAAGAGTTTAGAAGAAAAGGAAATGGGGTCTAGCCTCTCACTGCTGTCAGTAATGAGGATCCTTCTGAAACAGTTTAACTATTCCCACCCAGTGCAACCTAAATAAAAATATTTCACTTGCATTATTCAGCTCAGCTTTACATTACCATTCAACATGGGCCACCGCAATAAAAATTATAACTGCTTATAAAACAAGTGAAGAATATTAAAAAAGGCAAAGTGGGATGAACAGACAGAACAGTTAAATCCTGAATCGTCGTAAAATTCCACCAGCCCCACACGGTGAATTCCACTGAATACCAAGACTTGGACAAGAAAATTGTTTTTCCACAGGAAAAACAGATTCATTAAAGAGTTCTGTGTTATAATCTATAACAAAAGAGTATAGCTACTTATTCTGTTATCATTAACTTGTGTACATTCATCAGGTCTCGTTCATTTTTACTTGCTTAATTTCACACTGAAATATACAGGAAGTTGGTTCCCAATGTCCTTCTTTATCTGCATGTTTACTTTTAATAAACCATAAACAGTAATCAAAATAAACTAATCATTATAAAATGTTATTTAGAAAGGCTAAAGTGATACTTAAAAAAGTCTGGCTCTAAATTTAAATGCAAAGAAAAAAGCACCCATTGAAATGTACACATATACTTTGCAATAAGTATTATGCACAGAGGTCAGAGTTTCTGGGCAACCTCAGCTCCAACAGCCAGAGACGTTGCTGCCGATTACTCCTGAAGAACCAGTTCCCTTTCTACATTTTATTTATATATGTACATCCACACACGCACACAAAAGCGCTGCACAGTTATGACCCATCTGAAGGAAAATACATTCACTGTATTGTCAGCGCTCTATTGTAATGCACTCTACCCTTTCTGAATGCAATGTTCAGCTCCAGCTTACCACCCTGACAAATAAAGGAAAGCACTTTATGAAACCAATTTAATTGGGAGGTGACAGAAAACATACAGCCATTTTCTTTAGCCTTATCACTGAATTGGCTTCAGCTCCAATCTCTGCCAAATCCCACTCAACAGAACACATTAACCAGGTCAGCGGAACAGGTGCTGCGCGGTGTCTGGCAAGGGGCTGGCATCCCCACAATTACTTGCACACAATGAAGCAGTAATCTTTACAGATCATCTCTCCCAAGAAGCATATTGGGGATGGGAGGAGAGAAGGGAAGGAGGGAGGGAGAGAAGGAGGGAGGGAGAGAAGGAGGGAGGGAGGGAGAGATTAAAAAAAAAAACAAGCAAGGAAGGAAAATGAATGTGTAGCTGCCTCGCGGCTCAGCAGATGTCTGTGCGTGATGTACGAGGCTAGGATAAGCTGTCGTAGCCCGCTGCCAAAGAGTGGTAAGTGATTAAAGCCTCCACCAGGCTAAGCACCATATTTAGAGTCTATGGGGTTTCAAAAGTTGCACCCATTCCTTGCTGTGCTGCCAGATGTTGTTGGCTGGTCCTGCTCCTATTCACTGTGCGCGGGAGGCAGCAGTTGGTACAGCGAGGAATGCAATCTGGAACGTTTCCGGAGGTGCCGTACATTAAAACGGTGTCACCCATCCTTCACCTCTACCGAATGCTGAAACAACTCCAATTTGCTGCCACTTCCCTCTTGGGAAATGGCCAGGATACAGTTGTGCCTGGCAGACCCATTTGTTTTACTCAGGTGATTCTCTTCCCTCAATGACCTCTATTAGTTTAAGTTTTAATTTAGATTAACCCCAGCACCCCAATTAACCAGTGAGGGGAAAAGCTAAGCTGTGACTAGTCATATTTCTGAAATCACGATTTATCGAAGTTAAAGTTATTAGAAGGAAAGACGGGCCATTCATCTATTGCTATTTTTCTTTTAAAAATTTAACATTTCATGGCCAATAAGCACCTTCTCTGCACAGGTCCACGGACTGTCAATCACAGCTATTTCTCCTCGACCACTTCACTATTTTGTTATACTAACTTAATTTGTTCTGTGTTCTTAGGGTCCACTTGGTGCCCAAAGCTGGGCTTCTGGTCCACCGGGACGCCAAATTCCACCTCAGTATTATCTCACTGTGTTACAGATTTGGCCTCTTCAACCACTGCGGCCAACAAGACAGGCACTCTCTGATCTCCATTTCAGAGCCTACACCGATGAACCTGGCATCATCACCTACCCAAGAGATGCTGCTCAATTCACAGCAATGTTAGCAGAGATGCTCTTACAATAAATACACAGCCCGGAGAGGAGCTAGCTTGGAATAAATTTCTGGCTCTGAGGCAGGCTGCCTCACAAACATTAAATATTCAAATTGTCCTAATTCTGCACTAGGTGAGGTCTACTGCAAAAATTTTCTTGGACATCTACAGCAGTAGGGTTGGAAGTGTGTCGGAGGGGAAAAAAAAAGGCAGCATTAAAGGTCTCTGTATTTCCTATCCACAAAACACAGATAAGTATTGCCAATTTAATACATCTTTTTATTCATCTTTAGTCCTGGCTCTGTACATGAAACCCCAGATTTTGGAAGTATTCAAATGTTTCTTGTCAAATCAGTTATCAGAGCACAGTCACATGGCAACAGCTCTCTTCCACTGCCCTAACACTTTACTAGCCACTCTAATAACTATTCAGATCAGAAATTTCTGCCTTTCTAATGACATAATGATATTTGTTTAGTCCTGAAGTTAAAGCTCTCTGTGGATCATCAGAGCAAAACTAGTTTTTCGTGCATTGGGGAAGGACTTACAGTGAATCATAGTCCTCAATATATGGCAATTTCAGTATTTCATAAAGCTGGCACCGTCATTTATTTAATAAATTACAGGTTTAGACAAGGTTTCCCTAAGCTGCAGCCTCCATGCACTGGGTGCAGATTCCTTGTTTCTAAGACTTTTGCAAATAAAAAGAGTAACTGGCCTAAATCCAAGCTGGCACAACTCCAAGAAAAGTGCTAGAGAAGCCCGGCAGCTTTTTCATTCTGTAGGTAGGTGAGATGATTTAGGTTGAGATGAGAGTAACTTAGGTGCTTTTGAAGATCTACCAGAATCGTTTTTCATAATGGGACTCTACCCACAGAGAACAGTCACCTTTGGAGAACTCAGTAATTTTTCTCTTGTGTAGCAATGTTCACCAGCGAGAACTACAGGCACAGACCTTATCCTGCAGCCCTGACTCACTCAAGTACAGCAGTGCCAGCAATGGCAGTAAGTTTACATCCACAATGCAAGTTTAAGCTCACATAGCCCTGTATCAAAAGTTGAGAGCGAAGTCCTCTGAGGTATCTACGGAGAACCGAGTTTCACCGGTAAGAGAAATTTAGAGCACAGAACCAACCGCATTAGCTCTGTAAGCATTAAAAACCAATTGGAGCCATAATTCCGACACAGATTTACCATCACCTACCTGGTGATAAAAGTCATCATCATCAAATATCTCCTCATCTATGTCCTTCAGGTGCCTGTTGGAATCTGACTGAGGGAGGACTTCCTAGAAGCACAAAGGAAATACTGAAAGCTCATATGTGCGTATTTCTGTCCCTAACTCTGATGACATCACGTGCAGCAGCTTGTAAACTCACTTGAAGATACGAAGGAATGGAGAAAAGCTCCCAACATAACAAGCTTTTAAGGACTAGGAATACATTTAAAGGCAAGGCAGAAACGCTGCCAATGTCGAAATAGATTTATGATACCTTTACTGGGAAATAAATAGGACTGTGCAAAATCTTTCTGGCAAAATACTACAGATATTTTTAATGTAATGGCAAAAATATATCTTGCAAGTCCAGTAATTCTACATGATCTCTGAGAATTGAGTATTTATTCATTCTTAAATACTAAATTAATAATAGACTTACTACTAACATATTCTGTAGGTTATATGCAGTATGATTTTAAAAGTGACTTTCTGGGTTGGAGATTCTAACCTCCAGAGTAAAAACAAAGTTTTGTAGCTGCTACCTCAAAAAGCAGATTTAGTGAGCATCACTTCCTACAGCACAGGAGGGGCACAGTCACAGACCAAACCTTGTTTTCCCCTGTCAAGAACTGGCACAGGAGATAATGCAAACACCATAAAACTGGAATTGAAATGTCTACATCTTTTTCTTAGCCATTACATTACAGGAATCAACACTCGGATATCTCCTTCATCAATCTCTCACAAACAAGAATATTACCTGCTAAAGGCTCAAGCTAATTACTTTGCAGAGAGTTTCACTGCTGCTACAGGATGAGTTATATAAACAAAATACCCTTACCGAATTTTCAGGCAAAGATTCAGGGACCGGATGAGATTCCTGTTCCTGCTTTCCCAGCACTGTATACACTGATCGCTTGGTCTGTGTCCGCCGTAGTAATCTCTCTTTGTCCATCATAATATGATCAATCTGAGTCAAGATTGAACGCTCAAAGGCACCGAAACCCTGCAACAACATTAACTAGTGTCAGATAATGCAGAAAGCTTTTCCTCAAGGCAGCAATGTTCCTCTATCTTTCCATGTCAGTGGATAAGCAGACAGCATTCCAAGAGGAGGGGGTTTGGGTTTCGTTGCAGGGATTTCTGCTAGGATTTTTTATTTGTTTCTCCCTCTCTCTCCCTTCCCAACCTGAGGCAACCTCACGCCTGGCTTAATAAAATGCCTTTGCTGTTCTGGTTTAGATGAACTTCTCAATGATTAATACGAACTCACAGATGTTAGGAGACCCTGGATCTTCAGGTGAAATGATTACCCATTGTATTAAAGTGTGCACTTCATGGAGGAGGAGAGCCACAGAAGCTCCTAGTTCTGTTATAAACACAAACAGCTTGTTGATCAGCAATAGTGGTATTTTCATAGAGCTTACTTTCTGCTGGAGACTGGCTACGATGAGATGTCTGGTTGGGAGAACACCAATACTACCCAAGAGTTTTTCCCAAAACTTGGGAAACCATTTGCCCCCCCAAAATTCTTTCCTGTCCATGTGCTCAAAACAAGAGAGAGCAGCTTACGCCTTTGAAATTTGAGGGCTGAGCTTCTCCCAAACTTCTTTAAGGTTGGGGAAAAGTGTGTACCTGTGTATTTAATTCTTACTGCTGTAATTCTCGGCTTAACCTGGAACATCCATGATATGCAACTTTCAAACCAACTTGTTCCGCAAATCTCTGCTAAACAATAAGCATGTCAGCACACATAAACAAAGACTTGCCTTTCCCATTTTGCCAGATGCCAGCTTTGTCTTGTCATGCCACTTCTGCAAGACGTTGTTCCGATACGTCCTGAAGTCAGCATACCGCTTGGCTATGAGTTCTGGGTAGTCTTCCATCTTTAGCTTTCGTTTGGGGAGGCTCCTCCTCTTCTCCTGAGCCTTATCCACTTGCTCGTCATCGCTACTGCTAAGGATTTCATCATCACTAGAACAAAAATACGCAAACTAAACACCCTACACCTCTCTAAGGCAACATGTGTGAATTCTTAATGGCCCCTCCACTACCACCCATGCTTTTTCCACACCATGGTGATATTTATGGCAAAAGACCCACAGTTTAGCCACTCCTCCATTATCAGAAAGATTACAAAACAGACTTCCCACACTGGCAGAAGGAATTCAAGTGGTCGTTTGTCCAGAGTGGCTGTCACCCAGATACAGCAGCAACTGAGAGAACAGCAGAGAGTGAGCGTGGTCAGGAAGGCTGTCATTGTCCTCTTTGTTGGAGAGTTGGGAGACCAAAGGATTCAGAAAGGTCTTGTCTTATTTTGTATTTACCTCTCAGTTTTTGATTGCTTTCCATCTACCAAATGCCTCGTGCCTGGGTATTGATAAAGTAGCTCATCCTGAAGGTCCACTAATACTTTCAGCAATGCCTCCAGGGCTTTACAACCTGCAGAACAAGAGACACAAGCAACAGTTTTCCACTGATCCTTGCTTCTGGTGAAGATTTAGCTTTGCAGTGCTTAGTTTCTCATCTTGAACCTGAATTTCTGCCACAGGTACTGCATGTCCCATTAACTGTTTTTCTCTGATCAGTTAGAGATGTGGTTTTCTCTTCAAACTGATTTATAGCTGTTAATGTCAAACACCACCACACTGGGAAAGAACGTTTCGTTCCTAAAAAGGGAGGAGAGGAGGCAGGACTGCCTTCTAAACATCTGCCTGGCTGCACATCGGGAGTATACTGATCTAATGTTTCATCGACAAACATTCAGACTGCAGAGCCTAAAGGATTAACATATTGAAGAAGCAAATACTGTGTGCCGAAGTGTCTGATGACACACACGTATGACAACAACCTTTTTTGCTGACTAACTCATTTCTCTCCTGTGTTAAGTTTTGCAGCAGAGGCCAGCTTCAGCTGAAGAATATGAAGCAACACAAGGGAAAATGTATATATGTACATCCCGTCTAAACTTGACCTCTGACTTTTCTTTCTTGTACGTAATGTGCATGTTATAGGGAGCAGAAGGAGGGAAGACAAGAAGAAAAACCGAACTCCTGCAGGGCTGTGACTACTGCTGGTTTCTATGCCGCTGTGCTCACCATGCAGGAGGTATAAGAAATTAGATTGTAAGTAAAATTAAATGTAGCAAGGATCTGATCTATGGGGGAAACTTAAACAATGACCTGGCAAGTTTAATGAGAGGATTCTGATCAGAAAAGCAGAACTGCAGGCCCAGAGATCCTTAGAAAGAGAGAAAGTGAAGAAAAGATTGGGGTGGAGAGGTGTACAAAATGATCAATACATGGTGTGAAGGTTAGTTTTACAGGGATGAGCAGTTGCTTTCCAGGGTATTTGCAGACACAAATCCTGAATGTAGGTCTCATGCTGTGTACCCAAAGGCTTTCATAGCTGACAATTTTCCTGTATCTATGCAGATGCAGAGAAAACGATCTCTGTTCCAATGATCTTATATTCTCCAGGGACACACAGTTGCAGCTGACTGCGGGAAGGGTTAACTGCACACTGTTGCAGCATCTGTTCTTTAAAAATAGTTCTTTTGTGGCAACCAACAAGCCTCCCTGCAGAAAACAAGTGTTTGTCTAGGCCTACACAAACTCTCCCTTTGTACATTGCTACACATCAATCACAGGGTCAGCTCCTACAGGTAAAACACTTAGTATGGTTCTATCAAAAAACCTAAACTGAACTTTACACAGATTAATTTATATTTACCTGACACTGGTGTATTGCCTTCTACTTTTACAAAGAGGCACCACAGAAGGGGGAAAAAATGCACCACTTGAAGGAACGTAGCACACCACTTCAGGATCTGTTTTCTTGCAGGATACGTTCACGCAGGCTTGGCTTCCCTCCCCACGCACCCAGAGCAAGCATCCTCACGGGCAGCAGTTAACGCTGGCTGACAGAGCACGTGGATTTGTCCGGAGGGCAGGAGGAGCACTGCAGTGGTGGGACATTCCCCAGAGCTTCCCCTGGTACCCGCTCCGCCAGTTCCTCCACTGACGTGAAGTCAGTAGGACTCTTCTGCTTAACTCCCAAACCTGTTTCTTTCTTTGTAGTTAGCATAAAAGAATGGAGAGAACTTTTCACCACTCGATTTTTTTCTTTATTTCTTTTTTTTTATGGAGGACACAGAGATCATGGGTAGAGTGAACAGCAAATCTTCATCAGCCAGACAGAGACAGTGCAAGCAGAAATCAGCCCAGACACTCAGAGGTCTCAATCTCCCGCATGTTACCACTGTGATATTGCTCAGTTGTCACCATCTTCAGATAAATTATGGCCTGACCTCAGTAACGGGAATGTCAAGGAGAAGATGCTTTAAGATTTTTGTTGCAGATCGGCTGTTGGACTCATCCTCCCCTGGCCTGCGGTTCATTTTAGATACGTTCTGACAACTCTGCTATATAAACCTATTAACGGATTAGGTTTGCCACACTTGTAAAACAGCCGTGTGTTAGCATCAAAACAATTCCAAGAGACAAACAGACAAAAGCCCTTAAAAATGCATTTGTTGTACGTGTCTGCAGCTAAAGCATCGCTTGCAAAAGGAAACTGCCCCCACCCTAGCCTGAGTGCACAGCTTACAACAGCAAAATCTTTCCCACTGCCTGCAACACAGCTAAATATCCCCAGAGCTTCCAAAACTGTTTATTTTCTACCCGCTGCCTATCCTCCAACAGCAGTGCTAATGCACCCCAGGCAGCTTTGATCCTGTCAATTACAACTGGAGTAGCACTCCAGCTCTTCTGGGGTATATCAGGGCCACGGCAAGCAGGCAAGGAATACAGACAGGCTCAAGCTCCCCCAGGCTACGAGATATGGACCCCAACAGAAGTGGGGATGGGGAGCAATTTTATTTGGAGTGAAGGGGATGGAGAGGGCAGGGAAGACAATGACCGTGCGCTAACCAGGTGGGAGGGCTAATTATTCCAGACAGTGGCTTCATCATGAGCCTCTTACAGCTGGGTAATTTCCGTGCTTTCGGTTCTTGTGTATTTAATAGCATTATTGGATGGCATTCTCATTGTTACTGTTGGGTGCTTAAGTGTGCTGTAAACTCAACTTCAGAAGCCAAGTGTCACCCGCCCCTGCTCTCTTCCCATCCAGCCCTGCCCTATCCATTTCACGTTTAATTCCAGAAGGGACTGCGTTCTTCCCAGTCTCTCTTCATCTTCTCTTCCCTTTAATGCCCTCATCTGCCTTTACACCGTCGGCTTTGGGGAAAAGACTGAATCCATTTGTGAATGAAGGCAGCATAAAACAAAACTGTTCCACAGATGCAAACTATGTCATTTTGAAGGAAAGCCGGACACTAACCCTCCTGCTCTCCTACTCCCTCCCAGCACATTTTTTTTTAATGCCGCTCCTTGTCTGAAACAGACAATTAAACAGAAGAGAGTCACAAACACGGAGCTTTCAAGCACGCTAGTACATTAAGGCAACCAGCTAGCAGCTTTCACATGTGATAACCATCAGGTTTGTACCTCCTGCTCCCTTCCCTGCTCTGCTCTGTTCACAGAACAAAGCCAGCAATACCTCTAAGAGCACAGGCAATGCCAGCCCTGACCGTGTAGCAGGGGCCTCCCACTGCCATGAGCTGTGTTAGGTCCTTGGCAGTCCCTGATGATTTTCAGTTTCTAAAGTTTTCAGGATCAAGAAGATATCGACACTATGGTTTTCACAAGCACCACAACCCAGCCAAGGCTGAAACAATGCTGTTAAAGCCTTACGACTACCCTCCCACCACTCATTCACCAGCAGGAAGATCCTGATGCCAATAGCTTATTCCCAGAGCTACTACACTAACTCTGCCATCAGTATCACTTCTGGGTGTTGCTCTGTTGAGTTCAGCCAACTACAGACGCTTACACGTCCCCAGCTGCCCCTTCCCAGTCCAGTGCACCAGGCAGGGGCCAGTGACTGCAGGCACAGCAGTTGCAAAAGCAACTGTCAAGTTGCGGTATGTAAAACTCTCCCGACCTGACTTTGCAGGCACAGCCTATCGCCCCAGTTAACCCCAGCCTGTGCCTCTCCCACCCCTTGTCTCCTACTCTCTGCTGGCAGCTTTGCTGCATCTCTCTTACAATCTGCACTGCGATGTGCTGGGGTAAATATTCTACCTTATATCGACATTAGCGTCACAACTGACACCTTTAACATTGGGCCATACATCATCAGTGAGAAAACTCTCAAAACTCTCTCCTTTTCCAGGAGTTACTTCTGCATGTCCAACCTGTGTTTTCTGAGGACAGGTGGCTCAGCATTGCCTTAAAAACAAAAGAAGCTGGATCCCTTTACGGCATTTCAGCATGAGCAACTGAAATCCCCAAAACAACAACTCATGCTCTGTGTGTAGGAGAGGCCAACTAACGCCAGGACAACACGCAACCCCTCCTTCCATCAAACCTTTTCAAAGCTGCCCTTTGGGAAAGAAAAAAGGATGCCGAGTGGGATCCATCTGCAGCTGCTCCAAGAACACAGCAAACGTGGTTTGAATATAACTTCCAGCTTAAATGGGACTCAGTGTCTGTGGTGAGACTCTAACTTGTAAGAGTCACTTTTAAGAGTCCATGGGAGCCCCTTCATTTTGTGTACAGGAGTGAAAAAGTTGTTCCAGATCCAGCAGACAGCATATCAATCCACCAAGAAAGCTGGGAGCCAGTATCAGTAAATCAAAGTGTGCCTTTCTGCTAATACTCTCTCATACGTTCTCATTTTATACATCCCTTCACCCAGTCAGAAACTAGCCCTGGAGTATTTAGCTCCATTCAGGGATAGCACTGCCATGTATCAAAGTGTCAGGAGACCCACCAGAGATGAAATCTGTCCTACTGCTCTCAAACCACAAAAATCAATTTTGTCAATGCCAGTGGCTACGGACAAACAGGCTGTGCTGCTGGGCTCCCCCCCCCGTGTGTGGGGGGGCTCCGGGCTGCAGGGTACCGACCCCATGACGCGCTCCCCCCACCAGCCCTCTCCGCGCGCAGAGGGCAGCTGTGCCTCCGCCGCCGCTGAAACACAAGCTCTGCCGTGCTGGGGACTTGCAGGCACGATGGCTTCTGCGCTCGCCCATGGCTCTAAGTTCAGCATTTCTATAGCAAGGCAGCTTCCTGCGCAGAAAAATATCTGCGCTCTTTTTCATGACCTCTAAAAATGGGGTCTCATTTCATCTTCCCAAGCAGCTGCGGAGAGCAGCAGCTGGTGCGGAGCAGCAGGGAGTGGCCTCACGCAGAGACACTTTAAGTCGATGGAAAACAGCCGGTGCCTCAAGGACAGGCTTTCAAAGGTATTCACAGAGAGCCAACCACTGGGATTCCCAAAACTGCTCCACCAGGCAAGCTCCTCCCCACCTGACCCTGGTGCATCCATCCAGCAGATTCTGAGTACAACGGTCAGGGACGGAATCCTAAAAATAGGGG